TAACAGCACCATCAAATATCATCTTCCATTGGGAGCCATGCTCAGGACCTTCGTTAGGCAACGATTCATCATAATATTTCGTCTTCAGATACATGATGTCTTTGTTAAGAAATTCAAATTTCATAGGTTGATAGTCTTCAATCGGCTGTTCGGCGAGATACTCTAACAGAACACTCCCCTTTGTAGACTTTTGGGAAACATATTAGATATCGTACTCTGTCAGTACCATCTGCCACCTGGCAATTTTTCCGGAAAGTGCTTGCTTTTTAAAGACGAATTTAATCGGATCCATCTTCGAAATAAGCATGGTTGTATGGTTAAGCATATACTTTCTCAAACGTTTGGCAACCCACGCGAGCGCACAACATGTTTTCTCTAGCATTGAGTACCGAGACTCACAGTCTGTGAACTTTTTACTCAGATAGTATATTGCATGCTCTTTTCTTCCAGTCTCGTCTTGTTGACCGAGAACCGTTATATACATTATCAAAGGTCTTCCAGTAACTAGGGGTATCAGTATCGGAGGTTCCTGCAAATATTCTTTTATTTTATCAAATGCCCTTTGGCAACTTTCATTTCAGACGACCGCCTGATCTTTCTTTAGCAATTTGAACATTGGTTCACACGTGGCTGTGAGATGAGATATGAGATATGAACCGAGCAATGGAGTTTAATCTCCCCAAGAAACCACGAACCTCTTTTTCCATTTTCGACGCTGGCGTATCTGGAATAGCTTTTATCTTTGCAGGATCGACCTCGATTCCTTTTTCACTGACAATGATCCCCAACAGCTTTCCTGACCTGGCCCCAAAAGTACACTTGTTAGGGTTCAACCTCAATCTGAATTTTCTGAGCCCCTCACACAGCTTCAAAAAATTGACCAAATGTTCCTCCTCCGTTTGCGACTTTGCTATCATGTCATCAACATAGACCTCAATCTCATGATGAATCATATCATGAAACAAAGTGACCATAGCCCGCTGATAGGTTGCCCCTGCGTTTTTCAAACTAAAAGGAATTACCTTATAACAGAAAGTCCTCCACAGCGTGATAAACGTCGTTTTCTCCATATCCTCAGGTGCCATCTTGATCTGGTTATAACCAGAAAAACCGTCCATGAAGGAAAACACGAAATATTGAGCAGTATTATCAACCAATACGTCAATGTGGGGGAGCGGGAAATCATCTTTCGGGCTCGCCTTATTCAAATCTTTGTAATTAACACACATCCGTACCTTACCATCCTTCTTAGGCACGAGTACGATGTTGGCGACCCACAGAGGGTAAGTTGTAACGGCTAAAAATCCAGCGTCCAACTGCTTCTGGACTTCTTCCTTGATTTTCACAACCATATCTGGTCTCGTACGCCTGAGCTTCTGCTTGACTGGCGAACACTCTTCGCGCAACGGCAAGCGATGAACCACGATGTCTGTGTCAAGCCCGGGCATGTCTCATATAACCAAGCAAAGATATCACTATACTCACGGAGCATCTCAACCAATCCTTGCTTGATGTCACTCTATAGCATAGCCCCTATCCGAACATTCCTCACAACTTCTTCAGAACCCAAATTAATAACTTCGATTTCCTCCTGATGAGGCAGAATAACCTTTTCTTCCTTTCTCAAAAGTATAGCCAGCTCTTCTGGTAAGTCTTCATCTTCATCAATCTCTTCTTCGGCTTGAAATATTGGATTGTTGAAGTCGAAGCGAGTCATAGATGTCTCTGGCGCGGTGTCATCTGCAATGTGAATCCTACAATGATAATGGTTAAATGCTTAAAATGATATGCAAAACAAGCACAAAGCCACATTGCCATTTTATTGTTAAACATAAAACATGAAAAACAAATATCACAATATTTGAATGCAGAAAAACGCCCTTTGATTAATTGAAAAAGATTGTGCAAGCATAAGCAATAAGGCCCTGAAGATAAGAACCACTATGCTCCGGGTAGAACATAGGGTTGTACAATAATCAGAAAAACAAAGTATTACTCTTTCGTTGTCACTTGAATGAATTCCTCGATAGACCAATTGTTGAGGCTTTGTCCTGGAATGCACGACCTAATCCACGAGTCCATATCGCAGTCGTTATCCCCGTCTTTATCTGAAACAACATTGATCCGCTCGAAGATAACCCCGCCTTTGGTAAACTGTACCGGCCCTTTGTAGCGCGGCGCGCTCTGTGAGGATGACGAAGAAGATGGGAGGTATCCCAGACCAAATTTATCCTGCTTATGGGGTATATCCAACACTTGACCCCAACCTAGTGTTGCCCCAGCCTGCACTGCTACTTGGGCCTCCTTGAAGGATGGCATGGCCACTTCGGGCGCTTTGCTCACATCAGACACTTTGTCTTTAATCTGTACCGTCTCAAAAGCTTGACAAAGAGTCTCATGGATTTCACCATCCACCTCAACGTACTTAAACAAAGATAAATGACTGATCATTATATCTTCCTCTCGGCATACAGTGACAACGCTGCCACCCACCATGTACTTGAGCTTCTGGTGCAGCGTGGAAGTTATAGCTCCTGCTGAATGAATCCATGGACGACCCAACAAACAGCTATAGGCAGGCTGAATATCCATAATATAGAATACCGCGTCAAATACTTCGGGACCCACCTGAATAGGCAATGTCAGCTCTCCAAATACAGATCTTATGGTACCGTCAAAAACACGTACTACCAAGTCACTTGGCGTAGATGTTATACCACGAGTGTCCAATTTCATCAGTGCCTTCTTCGGAAGCACATTCAAAGACGATCCTGTATCTACCAACACATGAGACAGGACGGCTCCACGACATTCAATTGAAATGTGCAATGCACAATTATGATTCCTGCCCCTCGAGGTCAAGTTCAAATTCGTGAAACCTAGCCCATTTCCTGCGTTGATGTGCGCTACAACCCCTTCAAGTTGGTTAACCGATATCTCTTGCGGCACGTAAGCAGTATTCAATATCATCAATAACGCATTCCGATGCACTTCCGAACATAGCAACAACCACAAAATAGAGATTTTGGAGGGAGTCTGTTGCAAGTGATCAACTATCTTGTAGTCATTTTTTCTTATCAATCTCATGAACTCCTCCGCTTCCTTCTCCAAAGAACTCTTCTCACCAGCTTGAGAAGTTTCTTCCACCACAACTTTCTTACCTTTATCAACTCTGTCAGCGACCACTTCAGGTGACGAGATTACTCTTCCGCTTCGAGTGATTCCTCCAGCTCCAACTAGATTATCCACAGAATCAGTCGGCAAGCTCTTCAATTCCTGTTTCTGCCCATTACAATATACCTCCACTCCGTAGTTCCACGAAATTTCTTTGGTACTCTCATACGACACAGGACCAACTTTGGTGATGATAATGGTTGGCGGCCTCGGCGCAGAAATAGTTATAGTTTGTATGGAATCGGGATCGTTGCAACCTCATTCCTTTCTTCAACCATTACCTCTTCAGACTTCTTCTCGGCAACCCAGTCAAATTGCAACATTCCATCGTTCATCATACCCTGAATACAGCTCTTCAGCTCTGCACATCCCTCGGGATAACTCAAACATTCAGCACACGATTCATTACAGCCTAGGAATATCCCTCCCTTCAATAACTTTTCCTTCACAAAGCCCAACGACATCTTCAAATCATTGACATCAGTTATTAGATCTAAACTCTCGTCTTCAATGATTGCACTGACTCCGGCTGCCCCATGGTTGGACATGGGGTTCTGCACGACGTTGGGAGCGTCGTGAGAAAAGTTTATTGCCTTACTATCCACCAAATCCTGAACTTTGTGTTTAAAGGCCTTGCAATTATCAATGTTGTGTCTAGGTGCCCTGGAATGGAACTCACAACGAGCGTTTGCATCATAACCGGGCGGAGGCGCACCTGTCAAAGGAGCTAAAGTCCTATCAAGACCAAGAGATTGACAGACATAAAGAATAATCGTTAATAAAATTTGATCATGGTACCTCTGAAACACATAAAGTCTTAGCCTATGAAATACCTAATCAAGATGAGTGATTAAAGAGGATCATCAAATTAAAAAAACAAATAATACTATAATATTTTTTCCTTCAAATTTAGTCTTCTTTTTTTTTTAAGTTGTTGATTTATAAATATCAACAAATTGTTTCTATTAATATACAAATATAAATAAATTTTATCTAGCGAATCTTAGATCATTAATTTACACTCATTCAATTTAATTTACACATACTCTATCCATTTCTTATTATAAACAAATTTCGACCTTTTAAATTTATTGAATAATTAACTATAATTTATATATAGAATAAATATGTCAATTATTCGATAAATCTAAAAAACTAAAATTTACTTAAAATTAAAAATAAAGGGAGTAATTATTAAGCTATCTCACCCACTAATTTTTATTAAATTTTAATTGAATTTGTTTTTAACGGTCTTTTTAAATAAAATTTATAGTTCATAATTATATTTTAAAATGTTCAGAATCTAAACTTTATAATTCATAATTATATCTTTAAATTGTATATTTAAACCAAAATATTTTTCCAATACACCCGATCATGGCGCATTATTGGTAAGGTTACCCGTGGTTCTAATTGATGAACACTAACCTATTGCACTCAAATTTAGTATATTATTATTATACCTTAATTTAATGTATATGTATAAATATCTCGCAATGCTTAAAAATATGCGGGTTAGCTAAATAAATTAAATTAAAAAAAAAGTGATGAGTTGTGTAAAGAGGCGCAGCAAAGAAACGACGCGTGTAGAAATACAGCTGTATCGCAAAATCCTAAATCAACCGCCTCCCAGGAACAAGCGGTATCCACAGTCCCATGACCGATACGAAAATCCCCAAAAACCTAACCTCCCAAACCGTTTCCCCTCACCCACCCATAACCCTCACACATATAAACCAACGCAATTCTAACTTCTCTCACAACAAAATCTCAAACGCTCCACCACACTCCCGATACCAAAACCTTCTTTTCTTTCCCCTAAATCAATGGATCGGATCAAAGGTCCATGGAGCCCCGAAGAGGACGATGCCCTAAAGAAACTTGTTGAGCGACACGGCCCTCGAAACTGGTCCCTCATCAGCCGTGCTATCCCCGGCCGCTCTGGTAAATCCTGCCGCCTTCGTTGGTGTAATCAGCTTTCTCCTCAAGTCGAGCATCGCGCTTTTACACCTGAAGAAGATAGTCTCATAATCAGAGCCCATGCCCAGGTCGGTAACAAATGGGCCACGATAGCCCGATTACTCTCCGGCCGAACTGATAACGCTATCAAAAACCACTGGAACTCAACTCTCAAGCGTAAGTGTTCTTCCTTCATGGCTTCCGACGATCCATCCTTCAATCCTCAGCCGCTCAAGCGCTCCGCCAGCGTCGGCGCGCCAGGTAGTCCTTCTGGCTCCGATTTAAGCGATTCCGGAAATCACATCTTCCGTCCTATTCCAGTTCCGGTTCCGGTTCGATTACCTATCGAAACAACATCCGAACCCGAACAAGAGGAAGACGACGGTCCATTAACCTCGCTGTCGCTGTCGCTATCTCTTCCAGGCGTGGATACATCAGATGCGGTGAACCGTCCTGCCGCGGTTACGGTTAATCCTTCTCCTTCTCCGATAACTGCTGTAACGGCTTCTGTGGCGGCGAAAGTTTCGCAGGAAGTTGGAATCGGAGCGTTGAATTTGAGTGGAGAGTTTATGGCGGTTATGCAGGAGATGATAAAGAATGAAGTGAGGAGTTACATGGAAGAGCGTAACGGAATGTGTTTTCAGGGTGTGGATAGGCTCAGAAACGTTTCTGCGAAACCAATTGGGATTAACAGGGTTGATTCCTAATTTGGGTGATTAGAATTTAATTAGAGTTATTAGTTGATGTTAATTAATGTTAATGTTAACAAAAAAAATGGGTTTGAAAAAAAAGAAGAAAAAGAAGAAGCTTTATTTTTCTTTCTTTTTTTAAGCAAATAATTTTGGCCAATGTACAGAGGAGAGAGAAGAGTGAGTTAGTTGAGAAATGGAAGTTCAAAGTTCATTTACTTAGCAATGGCAAATCTGTAATTTCTCTCTTGTTCGGTTTGGTTGGAAAAGAAAAAGGGAGTTTAGATGGGAAGAAAATGGAATAGAATGTCCTCAAAATTTTCTTATTTGAGTTTAATTAATTTTCTACTATTATCTGTATAACGGTATAAGCATAATGTAAATAATCGTTATTATGGTTTAAATCCAAAATTAATTGAGTCGTGAAAAAGGAAATAAAATTAAGTGAGTCATGAAAAAGGAAATTGGTGCGTTATTTTGAATTGGGAGTAGTTTTTGTCAGTTATACATTTATGAACCTGAAAATTAGTTGATCAGTTACTATACGGTTACATTTTGATTTTAGAAACGAGAAATTTTCTGCATAACAACTAATTGGTAGAGGCAGTTTTTTATGTTTTTCTCCAAACCAATTTAACTGCAGTTTTATGTTTTTTTTTTATAAATCATTCATTTTTAAAAAAGTAAATATAGTCATTTTTATTTCAAATAAAAAAATTTAAATAAAGTTAAATATCAATTCTAATAAATGTGAAGATGGATAGTTTGGTTTACAAGTTACTCTAAGAGAAGAGTATAATATTCATTAATATTAAAATTTATTTTTTTTGATGATTTTGGTCTCCACTTTTAAAGCATTTTGACCGAGTATGTGTTTTAAAAGAGAGAATAGATAAGCACCAAATAGAATTATTAGAGTAAATTACTTGTAAAAAATAAAAAATAATTTTTTAAATCTAATTTTTATATTATTTATCATAAATTTTAAAATACTATCAATATTTTCAGCATTTTCTTGGAGTAACTGTTGAAATTCCAACATAACCAAATAAATTGTTCTACCATTTCAGCGTATAGTTCCGAAAGAGTGCAGTGGATCTTACTGTACCTGTAACAAATTGAATAACAATAATCAACTCAAATAATATAATAGAAATATATTTACAAAATTATATAAGACTTCCAAAGTCAGGTCTATAAATTTCAACCTATTTTTATTTTTTTTCATCTACAAAAATAAATATTATATTCCATATATGTGATTCGATTTTATAAAAGAATTAATTGAATTTATAACAATTAATTAGAAATTAAATTTATAAAATAATAGTGTAAGGATTAAAAGTAATATTTTACCAACATAATATCTTCATAGATAACAAAATATTTTTAAATAAACAAAATTAAAACAAGAATTTTCTTAGAATTAGTTTTGAAAATTTTAGTATATCCAAATATATTAAGCTTAAATTTATGTGTAATAGTTTTGAATGAACTATAATTTTTATTTATCACTAGGATATTTCAGCAAATAGGTTGATTTTTTTGTATATCATCTTCAAACATTGACACCATAGCCTTCCTTACCGTGGCAGAATCTTGTGGGCAGTGAATGATTAAGAATTAGTTAAGAGGTTAGTAGGCAGAAATTAAATAAATGGAAAATGAGTAGGGTTTTTTTTTTTGTTGACATAACATCAAATTTAACATTGATTTAAATAGTATTTAATATCATAATGAAAAAACTCAGTAATTTACTTCTTCACACATTTAAAATAGTTTAATTTTCATTTAAACTCATTTATTTGAATACATTCAAATATTTATTTTATTTATATTTTTTTAATTCATTTTTTATTTATATTTTGTTTGCATATTTAAATATGTCAATATTCATACCAATTTTATTATTTATATAATAATTTTTAATTGTTAGTGAAATCTATTAATTTTTGTGTATGAATTGAATCAAAATACTACAAACATATTTTTCAAAATTGCTTATATATAAATAAATGAGAGTATTCATAATTTGGTTCATTTCTTTAAGTCAGTTTAGTTGATACTCAATTGATACACTATTATAAATAATATATTTCAATGACAACTTTTACCTCAGTCAATTAAAAATCAAGGTCAGATAACATGAAATGTGGCATTTTTTAAAATTAAATTTTGTCTCAGTTTTTGAAAAATCGACAAAAAATGTAGCTCATAATTTTAGCTTCGATTCTCAACCCCTGCAATTTTGTGCTTTATTTAGAACCAAAATGGCGCCCTTATTTTATAAATGATATTTTCCCTCGATTTTCTTAAAATCCGACATGAAATTATTAATATTTTATTTAATTAAATTGAACCCAACTTTTACCTCAATTGTTTTCCCTCGATTTTTTTCTTTCAATTGAGATATAAACTCTAAACAATATTTTATTTCGTCATCAGAATGTTAAGTCTCATTCACTTTTCGTTATTTGTCATGAGTTTTGTGTACTTGTAACCTTTATCTCCGAACTCGAGGATGATATCTTCATAAGGAAGTTTCATAATATCTCAAAAGTCTTTTACTGACAGAGTTGTTCTATGCCTTTTTATTTCAGATTGAACTATTCCATCGGTAAGGTAGAGATTTGAAAATAATATTTTGACTAATTATGGATACACCTTCCTTGAGGGGATAAAGAGGAAGGTGGATAGATTAAGTTCTTCGAAAGTTTTAAAGAATTCACATTCTTCAAAAAGCTTATGAATCCATGGTGTGAGTTCCTAGAAGGGCTAGGTCGGAAAACTCTTGGAAAAATCTCACTTCTTGTTATTTGGTGGTGAAGAAACTAGAGAAGGGGATAGTAGAAAAGCTTAAACTTTTGGGAGCCATGATGATTATGAAAGAATAATCTCACACTCACACAAGATTTGAAAGAGAAGATGCAATGTAAAGGAGTAAAAGATGAATACATATTTATAGCATGTCATCTGATGATTTGATCGTGTATTTATTCCAAGAAATCAATGGAGAATATGCTGATTGAAAATCAAGAAAAAATCATTCCAAATTAGATGTGTAATCGATTGGCTAATAGCTTCAATCGATTGTTTAATCAAAACTTTCAGGATTGTGCGCTTATCATCAACGTTGGGATTTGATTAGCTTGGATCACACGCTTAGCTCAGATTTGATTTGAAAATAAGCGCGTCAAGTTCTCCAACCGATTGCCATAAGGTGCCAATCAATTAGGCTTTTATTGGTCTGCCTCCTTTGTGCATTTTGGGTCTTGTACTGGATTTTATTGTTTTTTTTTCACCTCTGTTCAGCCTTATTGCACCTCTTTTTTATAAAACACTCAAAAGCTCATATTTTTGGTTAGTGAAAATACTTTATCAAGATGATCTAAATTAAATCAACTATTTTAAAAGATTAATCTAAGTTTTTTGATCATTTAAACTTTAAAATAGTGTACTACCTATTTTATCAAGAGGCCTTAATAAACACTTCCCTTATAGGGAAACAACAACTAAACAATATGGTGTGTCCTTCTCTACGCATTGTTGAATGTGAAAGTTGGTATAAACTACGAGATATATAAGTTCGTTACAAACATATACACTCAACTAATCACTGAGGATCATAAATAGCAAGATATTCTCGAAAAACTTTTCCTTTGATCTTTGTTGTTGATATTCACCATCATACACTATTGCATTAGAGACTCATTATACATTTCTTGCTTTGCACATATCCATTGACTATCATTAAAGCTTCGGGCTGCAAAGTATGATTGCAAAGTAATAAGGTTTCATCTTTGGTACGCAAATTTTCTTGGGTCCAAGTGCATTAGTTCTTCCAGAAGATCTAAAGTTGTTACCTTTAGATTTTTTCAATTTGTAAAAACAAAAATACTCTAAATGGCCAACTCTTTTGTACTGTGTGTATTTATAAACTGGAAGATTCTTTTTCTTGTGATTTATACCTTTACTAGGTTTTTTATCCTTTTTAAATCGTAGTCCATTTTTATTTAAGGAAGGCCTTTGACTTTATAAGATCAAGTCAAGTTTTTCTTTCCATTGATTAAACTTGCTTAAGGTTTCATGCAAATCACTTACTTCCTTTTTCAAAGAAATAAAGTCTCACAAGTTTCTCTTGAGTTTCTAATTTTAGTTATTTCTAACTTAAATGATTTATTGTTTTCCTCTAGATATTTTAAAGACTCCTTAAGAACCAAGTCGTGTTTTTTAAGTTTATCATTCTCTTTAACTAACTCCTTACTAATTCTAAACAATTGCTTGTAAGATGTTTTATTTACCCTAAAACTAGCTTCCTCGTAGGATTTCCTTAAGAAAACTTCATCTTCTTCGTTGGAAGAAGATTCTTTTGAAGTTCTCCTAAAGGTTGACATCTCTCCTCATTTTCTTCTTTCTAAGATTTCACTGGAAGATGCTTCATCTTTACAGTTTATTAAACATGATGTTCCTTCATTAGATGTTGATTCTTCCAAAGACCGTTCAACTACTGAGTATGTTCATTCGAAGAACTCCATCGGAGTTGTTTGATAGGAGTTTGACAAAGTTATGATTCTTTGGTTTTTGTTTCTTCATCTTTGAGTAATTGAACCAATTCGTTCAATTTCTCTATTATTTCCTTCTTCCTTGATTTTTCCTGAAATTCATAAAGACTCACATCTTTCGATTTAAGGATTTGATTAAACTTTCAATTCTTAACTCTTAGATATTGCTTAGTGACAAACGTTCCAATGTCATTTTTAATATTTGTAAATTTTGAAGAAAAAAACATTGAAAGTAACATCTCCATTTTCTTCACCTCGTGTGTTCATCTTTTATTGCTCGATACTTGGAGAAACTCCATATATCACTTCAAGAGAATCTCACATCCCCTTAGCAGTTTTGCAATTGTGAACATAAAAGAATTTACTATCATCTGAGACATTACCGTAAAACTCTTGGTTTTGAATTTTATTTCAAACTTTCTCTTTTCTTCTTTGATCCATAGGAAATTGAGTTTA